TTGGCATATCCTTCTACTTCTATCAACTTTTTTAGCTTCCACATATGAGAACATGTGGTACTTATTTTTCTGCCTGGTTTATTTCACTTTGTACAATGAGTTATTTTATACATGTGCTTCAATTCTTTTTTTTTTCCCCCGAATGAAAAAGATTTAATATAAAAGTTCAAGTTTCACATAAAAGATAAAATGTATGAAATATCCTCCCGTTAATGAGTTCTGCTTTTGCATGGTCTCTGTTTTAACTTTCTTGCCATCTCATCCCCTGGGCGTTTCTATAGATCTTATTTTCTGTTCATCTTCATTGATTTTTCCTGTAAAGCCTAGCCTAAACAAAAATTACTTGTAACTACCAATTATCTGTTTTATGATTACGAAATAGGTTACAATTACTCATAAGGAATTATACAAGTGGCGGCTAGAGTAGGATGTTAGGTGTGGTTGTGCATTTGTTAACATCTAGCATTTCTTGCAATGGGAGGAAAGCAGAAGTTCGGTTTCTTTCACTTACTCGCTTCTACCTCCCCCCCTTCCACCGGTGAATGCCAGACTTTGGCAGATGTCTTGTGGGTTTTTGAAACACAATGGTACCCTAACAAGCCTACGTTGCTATTTAAAAGGGTCAAAAAAAAAGAGTGCTTAAAAAAAGTCAATTCAAAACCCATCTTTCTGATCATACTCTCACATCCTCTGCAAAAATAAAGCCAAGTCATTCTGAGAGCTGAATTAATTCTGCAAGTTGGGTTTGGGCTTAAGGATGTAAGTTAAGACGTGATTCTATCCCATCGTCTGGCTGTATTTTTCCTTACGTCACTTATATTTTATGCTTATATTCAGATTATTTGTAGCCATAAAAAAAATTTTGCAATAGCAACTCCCTGAAATAAAGAGAATTTATGAAAACTCTGTACTCAAGGAGAGTCAAAAGAACTATGACATGGCCCGTGGCTATCACAGGGGTAAGGTCTATTAGAGTTCCCCTAGGGAACTGGGGAATCTATAGAAGCACAAGGGGTCAGGGTTCAACAGTTATTTCCTGGCTGAATGAGCAACGTGTGGATGACACAGAGAGGCCATGATGGCAGCTTCTAAACCAAAGTTTTGAGGAAGTGGAAACTGGAAGGAGACACAACTGTCTGGCAAAGAGCTGTGCGCAACTGAATGAAGATGTGAAACAAGAGGTAGAACTGTCAGGAAAAAAGCCAAGACATCAGGCAGCCCCTGAAATGGCCTAAAGGCTTCTAAATTCCCTGCCTTGCATAGCATCTCCTTTGGGCTCAGCACCAGGTGAGGCTCAGGGACAGGATGGAGCAGAAGGCAGAACTCTGTTTCAGAGTGAATAGCGCATTTCCAGTTCTGGGTTCCACTACAGGTGTCTCTGCACTGAGAGATCTTCTACTCCAGCAGGTCCTTGAGGTAAATAGCCTGCCTACAAAAATAAACATGGTAAGACAGTGCTACGGATCCCATAGACACTGTGAGTCAGGTCACTTATTTATTTTACTTGCAGAGGAGAAACACATACGATCACACTCAGGAGCGGGGGTATACGGCAAGCAAGCGTCCCCAACAAAGTGGTAGAGTCTGCTTACAGGACCGTGTGGTCTACACTGTGCAGTCCAATGTGGTAGCCCATAGTCACATGTGGCTGTGCACACCTGGAGTGTGGCAAGTTTAAGTGAGGAACCGAGTCTTCCATTTTATCTCATTTTAGCTAGTTCTGTTTTATGGGGGGGTGGGTGGGGAGGGTCTCCCCGTCACCTGAGCTGGAGTGCAGTGGTATCAGACTAGCTCACAGCAACCTCAAACTCCTAGGCTTAAGTGATCTTCCTGCTTCAGTCCCCTGCCTACTCCTCCCCCCACCCCCCAGCTGGGACTACAGGCATTCATTACAGTACCTGGCTAGTTTTTCTATTTTTAGTAGAGACAGGGTCTTGCTCTTGCTCAGGCTGGTCTTGAACTCCTGGTCTCAAGGGATCCTCCCACCTCAGCCTCCCAAGGTGTTAGGATTACAGGCATGAGCCACCATGCCTGGCCTATTTTAGCTAATTCAAGCTCAAATTATAGTCACATGTAGCTGGTGGCTATTGTGGGAGGAGGATTGTTTGAGGCCAGGTGTTTGAGGTTGTAGTGAGCTATGATGATGTCCTGCCCTCCAGCCCAGGTGATAGAGACCCTGACTCAAAAAATAAATAAAATAAAGATAAAAAAAGGGGGAGCTGATCTAGTTTGGAAGGTTTAGCAAACAAATGCTTGAGCTGACAACCAGAAAATGAGTAACATGAACAGATAGCTTAGAAGGCCCAATTCTGGCACTTAAGTTACTCAAATTATTATTTATCACCGGCTACGTGTTAGCACCATGCTAAGCATCAGACTGTCAGACATTTAAAAAAATTAAAAATATTTAACGCATGCTACTGCAAATCTTATAGGCAGGATTACTTAACCAGGTGACCTACTGGCAAGCCTATTTCCCAGGAATTAGCTCCATCCTCCTCTCAGCTTGCAGTAAGGATGGAGGAAGGAAGAGGAAGTGGTCCTAACACTAATTGAATCACTGGAGCTGTGAGTACCATACTGCAGGCCCTTTTGGGATACTTTCCACCAGGTCCCAAGCACTGGCCTAGTTGCAGTGGTCATAATGAAGAATAAGACACAAAACATTGCATCCACAAAGCTTAGAACTATGGGGACTACGTACAAGTTGGAGAGACAAAGGAATAAAAACATGTAACAGGTAACATAAAGACAGGATAAATGGTTTGGGATAGACCCAGGAAGGTCTGGTCAAATACATGCTTCTTAGGAATTAACACTTGGGTTGGAGGGTGAAGAACCATGAGATGCCATTTGTGTGACAGTGGATAGTTTGCGGGCTGTTCCTGCAAAATCCCCCAACAGGCTGGAGCTTAAAGGTTCTAGGCCAGCGATTCTCAAGGGGAGCAACTTTGCCCTTTGGGGATCCTTTGGCAATGTCTAAGGACTGAAAGGGGTGGCCTTGCAAATTGTAATAACAGGATACTTAATCCTGCAATTTCGTAGTAACAGTTAAAGATCAATCCTTTAAGTTCCCTTGCTAATAGACACACTACTCCATAGGACTTCTGTTTTGAATAACTTCAGAAGTGGGGCTGAACAGATGGTTAAAAGTCTTTCTCTTTCAAAACTGGGTGTGAAGGTTAGGCTTAGTAGCTCACATCTATAAACCTAGCACTCTGGGAGGCCATGGTAGGTGGATTGCTTGAGCTCAGGAGTTGGAGACCAGGTTGAGCAAGAGCAGACCCAGTCTCTAAAAATAGATGGGAGTTGGGGCAGGTGCCTATAATCCCAGTTACTTGGGAGGCTGAGGCAAGAATAGCTTGAGCCCAAGAGTTTGAGGTTGCTGTGAGCTGTGACGCCAGGCACTCCACCAAGGGCAACAAACTGAGACTGTCTCAAAAAAAAAAAAACAAAAAACCCCAAAATTGTTTTTGAGAACCTATTTTTACCGAGTTCCTGAGTAAACAGCAGGGAAGAAGCTTCAGGCTTCAGCCATATCTCTAGGGCAGCCTCTGCCCATCTCCTCCGATAATCCCCCATCTACAAAGAAAGGCAGAGCAACTAGCTCTTGGACTTTGACATCTGCCCAGCTTGTTATCTACTTCTCACCAAGAAGAAACGTGGATGCAGCAGGTTCTCAGCTCTATACCATCAATTTACAACCTTCTTCATTTAAATATTTATTTTTGAGACAGAGTCTCATTTTGTCACCCTTGGTAGAGTGCTATGATGTCACAGCTCACAGCCACCTCATACTCTTGGGCTCAAGCCATCCTCTTGCCTCAGACGCCCAAGTACCTAGGACTACAGGCACCCGCCACAATGCTGGGCTATTTTTAGAGATAGGGTCTGGCTCTTGCTCAGGCTGGTCTGGAACCTATGAGCTCAGGCAACTCACCTGCCTCAGCCTCCTAGAATGCTAGGATTACAAGCGTGAGCCACCGGCGCCGCCTGGCCCTACAATCTTCTTTAAAATCACCTAGCCACTTGACTTCAAGTGCTGGCTTAAAAGGATGCCACACCATCTTCTTGCTCTTTTCTCTTACTTTCACCCCCCCCTCCTGTTAAAAGGATACATTTTGTATCTTTGTGTCTTAATCTCTCTGTAAGAAATATTTCTTGACTGGCACTTGTGAGCACCTACTGAGCTTTCCACCCTTAGACATTTTCTTTTGTCATAACCAGGCCTGGCATGGGTGACGTTGTCTCCTAGTGGTCAGCAGAGGCCAGAAATGCCGCTGAACGTCCTAAAATGAACAAGTACCCTCATCAAAAAACCACCCAGTTAGCCTGGCCGGACGTCATAACTTACGCCGGTAATCCCAGCACTTTGAGAGGCCGAGGAACAAAGATTGCTTAAGTTCTGGAGTTCGAGACCATCGTAAGCAACACAGGGAGGCCCGTCTCTACACAAAATAGAAGAATGGGTGGCCCACAAGGTGCGCACCTGTAGTGCCAGCTACTAGGAGGCTAAGGTGGAAGGGTCGCTTTGAGTGCAGGAGTTGGAGGCTGCAGTGCTGTGATCACTCCACTCCACTCTAGCCTGGGAGACAGAGCAAGAACCTGTCCCGACAACAAGAACAAAGAGAAAACCAAAACATCCGCCAAAAGCTACTCGGCTAGCCCAAACGCCAACAGCGTGCGGGTAGAGGAGCGCGGTCCAGGAAGGCCGAGGGCAGAGAGCAGGGGAGAAGCCGCTCGCGGGGGACCACGGAAGCCTCGCAGCCCCGCAGTTGTTGACGGACGGTGGCTCCCGCACAATTGTCCCCGCAGCTGTGCCAAGATTCCCAGCCCTACCGCACGCGCCGAGCCGGGGAGCGAGCCGTTCCCTCGCCAGACTTCCGGGGCGGGCCCGGAAGCGTCCTCCGGGTGGCTGCGGAGCGGCGGCGGGCCCGCCCAATGGGAACGCCCGAGGCGGGGCAACCTCGCGAGAAGGGCGGCGGCGGGGACGACCGGGAAAGCGGGCCGGGTGGCGGGGCGAGCGGGCAGCGCTCATGGAAGGCGCGGGGGACGGCTCGGGCGAGCGGGTGCCGCTGCTGGGGGCGCGGAGGGCGGCGGCGGCGTTCGCGGGCCGGCGTGCGGCGTGCGGGGCCGTACTGCTGACTGAGCTGCTGGAGCGCGCCGCCTTCTATGGCGTCACGTCCAACCTGGTTCTGTTCCTGAACGGCCCGCCGTTCGTCTGGGAGGGCGCGCAGGCCAGCCAGGCGCTGCTGCTCTTCATGGGCCTCACCTACCTGGGCTCGCCCTTCGGCGGCTGGCTGGCAGACGCGCGGCTCGGCCGGGCGCGGGCCATCCTGCTCAGCCTGGCGCTCTACCTGCTGGGCATGCTGGTTTTCCCGCTGTTGGCCGCGCCGGCCACGCGCGCCGCGCTCTGCGGGGCCCTGCGCCCGGTGTGCGTGCTCAACTGCTCGGCGCCCTATCCTAATGGCAGCGCCACCTGCCCTGACGCCACTGCCCGCCACTGCGCGCCAGCCACTTTTGTGGGCCTGGTCCTCTTGGGCCTGGGCGTGGCCACCGTCAAGGCCAACATCACGCCCTTTGGCGCTGACCAGGTGAGCCCCTAGTCTAGACACTTGTTCCGCCCATCCGCATCTGTCCTGGCCCCTGCGCTGGGGAAGACTTCCCTGAGAAAGCCTCTTTCTAGTGCGGGGAGCCGGCAGGCAGCACGGGCAGGGGTGACAGGTGTAGGGAAGTGATGACCACTGTAGATTTAAAGAAAAGCAACGGCCTGTCTATGAAGGTGTCTTAGGAATTCAGACAATGAAGGATAGAAGGCGGTAGCAGTGATTGGAGGAGCTTTTGAGATGGTGCTTCATCAAGTGCAAAGGCCCTGGGGTCCCTGTTGTTACTGTAGCAACACTCAACTCTGTCTTTGTTATGTTAAAGGAATTTTGGGATGGACTTGGTAGGGTAGGTCAGATGAAAAGAGTTTGAATTAAGTTAGCTTCAAGCTGCTCCTCTGTCAGCCTGCCTTTTAAGATCATCTGCTGGTGACAAGGTGATTGTTAAGTGTTACATGCAGAATAGGCAACCTTTGAGAGCAAAGGCAAACTCCAATCATTTAGGAAATGTTAGGAAGAAAAAAGTGAGAAGGGAGGTTATAGGATTAGGCTGGGTCACCTGAGGGTGTGTTAGAGTTTGAGGTCTGTTTTGAATACAGTAGGAAACCTATGGTGTTTGAGAAAAGTTCCTGCAGAACAGGCATCTGGCAACCACAACTAGAGTTCCAAGTGAGGTCTACGGTTTGTTTTTTGAGAACAAGCTCAGAGTGGTTCTTACATTTTTATTTATTTGAGACAGAGTCTTGCTCAGTCACCCAGGTTAGAGTGCCATGGCGACATCACAGCTCGTTGCAGCCTCCATCTCCTGGGCTCTTGCGATCCTCCTGCCTCAGCTTCCTGAGTAGGCAGGCCTACAGGTGCACCACAACGCCTGGCTAATTTTCATATATATATGTATCTGATGATGTTGCTTTATTAGGTGTGTAATGTTTTCGTCATGTAGATGCATGTCCTTATTTTTAGGAGATTCATGATGAAATATTGGGGGTGAAATATGTTGCTGCAATTTACTTGCAAATACTTGAGCTGGAAGTATCTTGCATATACAGAAAGAAAGGGGTGCTAAGGATTTAAGGGTAGGATATAGAAGTGTACCTTTCACTATTCTTTCCACTTTTCTATAAATTTGAAATTTTTTAAATGACAAGTTAGGGGAATGTCCATCAGTTGATGAGTGGATAAACAAAATATAGTACATTCATACAATGGAATATTGTTTAGCCATAAAAAAATAGATTAAGTGCTGGTGGATGCCAAAAATGGTATGCAGAACGAAAGAAGCCAGACACAAAAGTCTCCCTTGTATGATGCTGCCAAATGGACAGGAGAGAGGAATGTGCAGAGACTAGAGGTAGATTAGTGGTTGCTGGGGCTGGGAGTGACTGATAAAAGGAACAGGGTTTCCTGTTAGTGTGGTGACAGTGTTATGGACTTACATGGTAGTGATGGTTGTACAATTCTGAATTTACTGAAGAAGATCATTGAGTTGTACATTACTAAGGGGTGAATTTTTTGGTGTGTGAGTTTTATCTCCATGAAAAACCATGGAGAAGGATAAAATTAGCATCCTTATGCCAGGGGGCTTGCTGTGTGCCAGCTGTTGGCTGACTTTTCAGGGGATTTCAGAGGCCCTGCTCTCTAGGATGCTGGCTGTCTCATGGAGGCAGGCCTGGCTTGGGAGCCTGGGGTCTGCAGGTTTAAGGCTTGCCCTGATCTTTTGTGGGACCAGGTTTAGTTTATCCTGCTCTGGCCCTTTTCATTTAGAGGAAATATGTATTTTCAAGTTACGTTTTATGCTTCTCTGTCACTCACCTCTTTGTCTTTACATAGGGCCTCCAGAAGACATTGGGTTGGAGAGATGAATGGGATCAGGCTGCATAGCTTTGAGAAGCAGGCTTTGGCTGGCTTTTAAAGGCATATGTGAGCTAAGATATGTGTGAGTGCAAGCAAGGGTGATGTATTTTGATGAGGCCCGTATTTTCCCCTAGTGCTTAACCTTTTTCAAATCATTCTTGATGGATGGAATATTTGAAATAATGGCCTGAAAAAAAGAAAATCTTATTTTACTGATAAAGAGAACAAATGATGGATTTTTTTCTAAAAAATGGCACTCTGTGGATTTTAAGGAATTTTCCCATGTCAGCTGTCTGACTCGCTGTACACAATGCTGTTCTTTTAGCTTTACTTCTTTGAATTGATTTAGGTGGTGTCTTTTGACCAGTCTGGTGACAGACATGTTTGCCCCTGGCAGAGCATGTGGCTGCTGTACACATGCTGATGTCATGAGCCTGATGGAAAGGGACAGCTGAGGCTTAGCAGCCAGGGTGGGAATCATGTGATGTGCACTGAGCAGCAGCCAGCTTCCCCTTTGTTTCAGAAATGGCTGGCATGTGGTTATTTAGGGCTTAGTAATAGTCTCTGGTTTATAAAGTTCTTTTGATGGATTACCCTTGGAAGCTGAAGTAAATTGACGACCAAGTTTATTCAGGAAATGAGGATGAATGGAATTTTAAGGTTAGGATTTTGCTAGACTAATGGAATGCTAATTTTTTCATGCCTCATTTGAAGAGAAGATGTGTCTGGGAATGTGGGCAGATATGTAAATTATGCCTCCATTAAGTTTAGATATTATGTTACTGGCCTCTTCCTTTTTTAAGTTTGTCAAAACAGTTACTTTTTCTATTTGATTTTACATCTGTATATATGTTTTTGTCTGTAACTATTTCTCTGCTCACATTTTTTCCTTCTGGTGTATGTCCAGTGTAGTATGAATATTGATGCCTACTGCTTAGTAATATTTAAATGAATTGTGTCCCAGCGAAGAACTGTCTGTCTTAGATGTACAAACTACTGATTGAGTAGCATTGCCTGCACTTGGTCTAGGACCTTTGTTCAGTGTTAATGTGTGTGGGAGAACAGTTTAAATCAGTGATTTTTTTTTTTTTTTTTGGATGATGGAGTCTCACTTTGACACCCTTGGTAGAGAGCCGTGGTGTCACAGCTCACAGTAACCTCCAACTCTTGGGCTTAAGCGATTCTTTTGCCTCACCCTCCTGCGTAGCTGGGACTCCAGGTGCTCACCACAGTGCCTGGCAATTTTTAGAGACTGGGTCTGCTCTTGCTCAGACTGGTCTCTAACTCCTGAGCTCAAGCAATCCCATCCACCTCCCCCGCTTTAGCCTTACAGAGTGCTAGGGTTACAGGTGTGAACCACCATGCCTGACCCTAAATCAGTGATTTTCAGCTGGATTTTCAGGATCTTACATGTGCTTAAATTATTTTTGAAAGAAGTTCAAAGCACAAAAAGTATATTTTTTTTATTCTTTTTTTTTTCCATCAACATAATTTAAGTGTGCTACGAAAGTTTAACTATCAGTTCAAGTGTGCTGTGAGATAAAAAAGGTTCAAAAACACTGGTTTAAATACTAGAGAAACTGTGGGGTTTTTAAAAAAAAAAAAACTCACATGTTCAGTTTGAGGTAGTTGTTACTGTGTAATTACTTTCAAGCATATTACTTGTCAGTACAATAGCCATGCTTAATCATTTGGACTTAACTGCTTTTTATTTTAGGGAAGTATACAATTTTGACCATGTATTTTACACCTCTAGTCTTAAAAAGTAGAGCTTCAACTACCATATCAAGTAGTATGACTGCTAAAAAGGTACTTAGACTTATTGCATGCCTCAGTGCAATAACTTTGTTTTGGCCCCATTTCAAGGTTGTTATTCAGCAGAGGAGATTGCTCTGTGGATCAAAAACCAGATCTATTACTGGAACAGGAATTTTCTAACATTTTTGTAAACTGTTAACTAAGGACAGAAGTTTTTAAGACAGCAAGGCTAGACAGTCTTTGTATGAGATCCAGCATTAGCCTTTAGCTCATAAGTTTGTCTTAAAAATTTATGAAATGAAACCCATTAGAAATGTCTCTGGCTAGTACAGGACTCATTGTTTTTTTTTGGAGACAGTCTCACTTTGCCACCCTGGGTAGAGTGCTATGGTGTCACAGCTCACAGCAACCTCAAACTCTTGGGTTCAAGCCATTCTCTTGCCTCAGCCTCTTGAGTAGCTGAGACTACAGGTGCCTGCCACAACCCCTTGGCTATTTTTAGAGACGGAGTCTTGCTTTTGCTCAGGCCGGTCTTGAACCTGTGAGCTCAGGTGATCCCCCCACCTTGGCCTCCCAGAGTGCTAGGATTACAGGCCAGAGCCTCCACACCCAGCCATACAGGGTTCGTTCTTGCACTGTCTCTTTAGATGTGGAGATCCTGGTCGGGAGAGAGGCTTCTGGTATATTTGCTGCCAAATGAACTATTACCAACCTCATGGTCTCCATAGAAGTCGAATTGGGAAGGGTGTAAGCCAAGCTTTGTATGTGTTCTCTTAGTGCTTTTGTCTGTCTGAGTCTGGGAAGTCAGTGATTTTTGAACTTTTGAGGGATCCCTACCCTTAGCTAAATTTTTCCAATTCTCTTGACAGCCTTTCTAATCTAGAAATAGCACATGATTTTATCTTTAGTCTGTAATTTCTTCTTTGCTTTATCAAGATCTCTGATTCTCAGGAGACCAGCTACAGTAGGTGTGGGGCCTCTCTGGACATGCATGAACCGCAGTGTGTTGTCTCTTTGGGACCTAAGCATTATTTGTTGGGCACTTCATGGCACTGGTGTTTAGCCCAGTGAGGTGGTGGAACTATGCAATACTGCTTCTAAAACTTGCTTTCGCATGTGAAAGTCACCTGGAAAGTTGCTTAAGATGCAAATTCCTGGGTTTCAACCCCAGAGATGAAGATTCAGTAGAAGCGGGGTGGAGTGAATCTCTTATTTTTGAGGAGCATTCTAGGTAATTCTAAGTGGGTAGTTTCAATACTTTGAAAAATTCTAAAGCAGGGAGTCCACAAACTCTGAAAAACTCTAGGATTTTTTGGGATTTAGCATGTAATTGAGAGAAACCTACCCAGTATCTGTAATAATTAAGTGTAGAATATGTTTTTGTTGGTAGACCCTTGAATGTGTATGTAAACACCATTTTGATTCTGCTGCATTTCTTAAAGGTTGTGATGACAGCAGTGATTTTAATCGCTTCATTGTATGTTGTTTTCATCCTTGAAGAGTATTACATGTTTTCAAGTGTTTTTCCTCCCTGTTATTTTAGGTTAAAGATAGAGGTCCAGAAGCCACTAGGAGATTTTTTAATTGGTTTTATTGGAGCATAAATTTGGGAGCAATCCTTTCGTTAGGAGGCATTGCCTACATCCAGCAGAATGTGAGCTTTGTTACTGGCTACGTGATCCCCACTGTCTGCGTTGGCCTTGCTTTTGTGGTCTTCCTGTGCGGCCAGAGTGTCTTCATCACCAAGCCTCCTGATGGTAGCGCCTTCACCTACCTGTTCAAGATCCTGACATACTCCTGCTGCTCCCAGCAGAGCAGAGAACGCCAGAGTAGTGGGTAAGTACTTAACACTCAGCACTGGCTGTTTGATATGACTGATTGATCCATTTAATTAAAATGATAGCTTGTGTTTGTTGTGTGCTTACTGTGTGTGGGGCACTGGGCTAAGTGGTTTATATGTTTTGCCTCCTTTTAACTTGGATTTGCTTGAGGAGATGGTGTGTGTGATGTTATTCTGTCTTAAATACATGCCAGTGGACTGATTCTGGAGCTCACGTTCTTAACCCCACAATGAACTTCTTTTCACTAAGATGGAATCTCTTAGCTGTTTAGTGGCAGATTACAAAGGCTGAAATTTACAGAGGATACAAAACACATTTCTTTTTATTTTAAAAAGCTTTGAAATACATTTGAATGAAAAAGTAGGCAATTGCATGTTGTCAGTGCCTCTCTATACTCTTTAGAAAGTGAGCCTCTGCCTCTCGCTCAGAGTTTAGCAGGTCAGCATGGGCTCCATTATCCAGTGGTCACTTTGTCACTCTTTGACAGAGAGATACAATAGCAGAGTGTTGAAATGCACTTAAAGTAACCACTTCATCTTTGATTTTTTGGGACTTACCTAGTTTTAGCACTGAAAGTACCAGGAACTGGGGTTTTAAAACAGAAAGTCCCATGTCCTCGGAACCCCTCCATGTTACTGGAGGACTGTGACTGATGCTTGTTCCTGCTCCATGTAGGTTAATAAAAATCCAGATTTTAGCCCAAGAAGAAACTTCAGAAATTTTTGTGTTGTTTATTGTGGTATAATTTACATGACGTAAAATTTACCCTTTTCTCTGTTCAGTTCTCTGAATTACGAGAAACATATTCAAACCACATAACTAGCAGTGCAGTCAGGTATATAAATATTTCCATCATTCCTGAGAAGTCTTGGGGACCTTTTGTAGTCAGTCTCCTCAGGGAATATTTTGATCAGTTTAGAATCCTGACAGTTGCTGGGCGGGAGGGCGATGACTCAGCCGGGGTGTCGTTCCTCACTGCTGCGTGGGCTGGCTGCTGTTCTGCAGGTGCGTCTCACACCTGCCCCGCTGCACTTGTCTCATTAATGTACTTGGAGCCGTAACAAGCTAATGGCTAGTGTTCCTTCCATGTGGAAATTTGAAGCTACACCAAAATAGCTCTCATGGCCTGCTTTTTTGCTCCAGCCTGAGTGATTTCTTGAGCCATCTCCATATGGAGTTCTGGCTGATCTGACCCCCCTAGGAACCTGAAGATGCTGGTGGGCTATTGTGGTATTTCAGTTGTGTAATCAAAATTACAAGTGATAGGGCCCTACTGAAGAACTTTTTTTTTATTGTTTTGGATTCATAGATGGTACAAAGAATTAGGTTACACTAATTGTGTTTATTAGGTAAAGTCCCTCTTATAATCATGTTCCACCCCCGTAAAGAATTTTTTAAAATTAAAGTAGCTTGGTCTCAGCAGTAGACACCAGTCTTTGCAGGACCTTATTTTGATTAGGCAAGAGCAGTGTCTCAAATCCCTGATGTTTATTCTATAGGCTAAATACCCATTAGCAAAATACAACCGTTTTCAGGTACCACCCTTAAAGTTTCAGTGTGTCTCTATGGCAGCATGAAGAGGGTTTTGGGTTAGGAAACTTATTTCTTGTTAGGCTTATTTTTGAAAGTTGCCTTGGACAAAAATAAGAAAAAGAAGGTGTAGTTTTCAGAAAAGTTGATGGTCTAAAGAATTCTCAAACTCTACTCTTTGTATGAAATGGCTCCATGACCTTGGGTAGTGACCACACCAAGCCCACTTTCCCTTGTTGTATGGAGAGATGGACTCAGGGTTGCTGTGAGGCCCGAGTGAGGTAGCATGGGCAAGACCCTCAGCAGGACTCTTGGTCAGTGGTACCTCCTCTGCTGAGGATGCTTTCAAGCAGGTAGGCCTCAGAAGCTTGAGGGAATTAAACACAGCTTAGCGTTTTTGTAATTGTGGCACTCTGTATCCTGTCCCAGGTTCAGCTTTTGGCCTGGGTTGGTCTACTTTTTGAAGATGATTTCATGCTTATTTTAAATGAGAAATGAAGGTATAGTGTTTTTAATTCATCGGACAGAAGTAGAAATGGTCCTAAAGCTTTTATCAGGTGTACACCTGTTTGAGTTGAGGCTCCACGAGGACTAACGGACTTTCTTCCCTAGAATGTGCATGTGCAGAAGTACAGCCTTGGCAGACTTGGGGGCACAGGTGTCTTGAAACTGGCAGCAGGACCAGTGGGCTCTTGTCTGTGTTCTGATGTCATTTGTGACCATGGCTTCATATGGGGCCTGTGTGTGTTGCAGAATAGTACGCTAACAGTATGTAGGAACCTGGTAAAGTTTCAGGTGCATATTGACTAGGCAGTTTTTAAAATATTTTATCGATATAATGCAATAGTGATATAACTAGTAACCTATGTGAGTGCTTCTTTGTGTTAAAATGGATTTGTTATTTGGCATTTAAATGTTTTTAGAGAAACACATTTACTATGATCTGGTAAATCACTGGCAGTATCTGTGTTAGGTACATAAAGATTTAAATTTCCTTTTTGGAACAAAAGTAACTTGAAGATGTAATGAATGTTTTCAAATGAAAGTATACACTTGTGTCTTTGAAATTAGTTTTACTCTGGAGCACTTTTTCCTGATTTTCCTTCCACTGGACTAAGTGTCATAAGGACAGGAACCTCATCCTTTGAGACATGTTCCTGTATTCTCATCTTCTAGTTATTTAATAGAAATATGCTGGGCTCATAGCAGGTACCTAATATGCATTTGTTGAATTGAATTTATTTTTCTTATCCAAAAATTTTCAGTTTTTAGCTTTTTCATTTTTCCCCACTCTGAAAGTCCAGATTTAAAATGCCAGCTTTATAAGATAAAAATAATTTAAACTAGTGGCACCTTATTAAACTAGAAAGTGGGCATTTGCCATTTCTGAGTTCCCACATTGGAAGCAATCTTAATGGTAGTTGATTATCACTGGGTGTTTCTGGCTTTAGAGAATAGTGTGTCCTTTCTTTTCTTCTGTTTTACCACTGAGATCCTTAGTGTGTGTTGCTCCATTATAGTATTTTGGAGCTGGAGAAATCTGGCAGGACCTATTCATTTCATAAGTAATGAAGCAGGCCAGAGTCAGTGACACTTGTTAGTACCAGGGAACGCCAGGCCCCTGTTCCTGGCTGTGATGGGCCCATGTGAGGGCAAGGAGCAGAGGGGTAGTGGTGTCCTGCAGGGGTCAGGGCCTCAGGCTCAAAGCCATGACTGCCCAGTCCCATTCCAGCTTTCTGTACTGTGAAATAAGGTCAGCAAGAGGTTTAGCACCAGATGGGCTTAGGGGAGCACGTGGAGCATGGTGCAGAGAGCACTTCCCAGGGGACCTTCTCGTCCCTTCCTCTTCACCCCACCAGCATCATCCTCCCCTCAGCTCTTCCTCAATCTGGGAGATGGTGGCTTCCCTGCTAGAACTTAACATCCCTTCCTTGTCGTACCAATGACTTAATTTATTTTTTATGTTTATTATTTTCCTCTGAGACATACTTTATTATCAGACAAACCAGTGACTCAATTTAAAATAAACCTGCGTGGTTTAATTTAACATATTGGTATTGGCTGTTGGGTCTTGAGATTTGATAAATTAGCTAATTATAAAATCAGACAAATTCAGTGCATTTTTTCCCCAGATATTAACGCAGCAGTCTGGCGGTGCTGCTGTTCCCAGACTCTGGTGAGGCTGCAGGCTGTCCTCTGCCCAGGTAGATGTTGGCCCTGGGGCCACAGCTGAGGCCACAGTCAGCCCAGTGCAGTCTCCTACCAGGCTGTGGTGTCTGGCCTCCTTTGCAGTGCAGTAGCTTTATTGCCCTTTAACTACAAAGTCCTTTTGTCAGCTCTTTCAGTACATTTTGTGGTGTTTAGAAATAATTTAGGTAGCTATATTTGGTGTGTACAATTAGCAAGTGTTGGAATGAGTTGAAACAAACTCAATACGTTGAGCTGGTTTCCTACCTCCAAACTTAATTTGTGACCAAATAATTGATTGCTGGGGGTGGAAGAAAACTAATTCCTTCATTTTATTTCCCAAAGTGAAGGCATTGGAGTCTTTCAGCAATCTTCTAAACAAAGTCTGTTTGATTCATGTAAAATGTCTCGTGGAGGGCCATTTACAGAAGATAAAGTGGAAGATGTGAGAGCTCTGGTCAAGATTGTCCCTGTTTTCTTGGCTTTGATACCTTACTGGACAGTGTATTTCCAAGTGAGTGGTGACAAACAGGTTTAATTTCCTTTATCTTCCTATGAAGCCTTGCCCTAGCACTTGTTTTGGCCATTACTGAAGTATGTAGGACTCAGTGATTTTTATCCATGAGTCTGTAGAATCTTGGAATTTTTTTAGTTATTGATTCATTTTGGCTGCTTTAAGTATTTTGATTCTTTCCAAAAAAGAAGCTAAGAATAGGTATGCTTCTGGTTTTCTAGGCCCCTCCTGCTAATTTAATTTCTTGTTTGGATAACTGGCAGTTCTTTTCCCAAATTGATCTCCAGAGGATGTTTAGGATGACCAAATAATTGACTTGTCCATTTTCAAACTTGAACCATCGTCTGTTTCTGGGAGTCACTGCTGTGTCTCATCAGAGTCTAGTTTAGGGGAGGGGCAATCTGCTTAAAGTTTTGGAAAGCGTGGTTGAATCACATATAATAATATTGCTTTTTATACCCAGATGCAGACCACATATGTTTTACAGAGTCTTCATTTGAAGATTCCAGAAATTTCAAGTATTACAACCACCCCTCATACGGTAAGAACAATTGAAATGATCTCAAAATTGTCATTTGAGGCTTATATATAATAATGAGTTCCTTCTACTAACTGTGGATATGTTATGAACGCTAGCAGTGAGCATGAGCTCAGTACACATTTGCTGAAATTGCATTTTTTTTCCATTGGTTATATCATTTACTATATTAAGTTGACTAATATAGTAAAATACTATCAGCATCATTAAACGTTGATAGTATTTTCATCTGATCCTTCTTTTTTTCTTTCAAAGCACAGAAAAGCAAATGTGGATCCATATAGAAATATCTTTTCTCATGTCCAGTGTCTTGAAACTGAGACTTTTTCCTAGAGGTTATTTTTTGTAGACCTTTGTTGCAGAAGCATAAACACACCCTCCTTTCTTGCCCAGCTCCCTGCAGCGTGGCTCACCATGTTCGATGCTGTGCTCATCCTCCTGCTCATACCTCTGAAGGACAAGCTGATCGATCCCATCCTACGGAGAAATGGCTTGCTCCCGTCGTCCTTGAAGAGGATCGCCGTGGGGATGTTCTTTGTGATGTGCTCTGCCTTTGCTGCGGGTGAGAAGCCCTTGCTCATCTGCCAAGCCTGGCTGTGTCTCATTGCTCAGTTGTGGGTAACTCGGAATATAGTAGTCATGCCTGTGTTATTCAGGAAATGTGTGCTTTAAAGGAGACCCTGTATCAATTATTTTAAACCACTGATTTTTCTTTTCTCATTTTTTATTACATAAAGTTGAAAATTTTCTTCCTAAGTATATGTCATTTTTCTTCTAAACTAAAACTATTGGAGTGCTTATTGAACTGAATTAAAGGAGGCTTGTTCTCTACAGATTGGTGTAAAATTTGACTAAACTGCATAGTTTATTACCTCCCTTAAGGAAAATGACAGGACTGTAGCTTTTCCCTAGTCCCCTTTTTGAAAGAAATAAAAAAAATATGGATGAGCAGTCTAGATATTGAGGCTCAAATTAAACATATTGAGTCTTTGTTTACTGCAAAGCCCAAGTGAATCAGGCGTGCCATGATGTGACCTCTGTGTAGCCCACCAGGTGCCGACAGCAGGGACGTCTCAGTCTGGGGCTCGGGCAGCCATGATTGAGTATTATCTATACAGCATTTTTCAGTACCATCAATGAAGCGTCTTGTAGCAAGCATCTAGTTTTTAAGTTTAACTGTTATATTAATAACAAATGCTACCTTGACCTGCTTATGCATTCTAGGAATTCTGGAAAGTAAACGGCTGGACCTCGTGAAGGAGAAAACCATTAATCAGACGATCGGCCGTGTGGTGTACCATGCTGCCGACTTGCCTATATGGTGGCAGGTTCCGCAGTATGTGCTGATTGGGATTAGCGAGATATTTGCAAGTATAGCAGGTAAGGTTTCTTCAGTGTCAAAAGCATCTGAGTAGCGTCTGTTAAAATATATTGAGACAAAAATAGCATACTACTAGTATATTTTTTGCCAGAGAGTTGTGGTTCAGAATATGAATTGGCAGGTAAATACTAAACTCAAGATTCTCCTTTCTTGGTATAATAGTAGTATTCCTCCATTAACTACATTAGAGTTGCCCCAGGAGAGAGAAGAATGCAGCTCACTGCTGGGCGGCCCCTGCTGTGCTGGGCGCCTCCTGGCAGAGCCCTCTCTTAGTGACGTGGTAGCCCAGCCCACAGCTCTCAGCTCAGTGTTGGTGGTTTAGATTTATGTAGAGAAGCAAATCTAATTTTCTAAAAACATGTTTTCACAGGTCTCTCTTTCCCTGTTAGTGAGATTCTTTAGAGGTATGGACAGTGCATTCTGGGCAGCCGTGTGGCTGCCAGGAGCGAGAGAAGAGAGAAAACTCATGACAGGCAGAGGCTGGGTGGACTGGGTGGGTAGCAGTTGGCAGTGATTTTAACCTCTCAGAAAACTCATACAGAGTTGGCTAATGAATTTGAGAAGGGAAGATGTCCCATCAGAATGGTCTTTTGTTTAGAATACATTGCAAATCTCCATGTCTAGTTATTATAAAAATTTGCATTTAAAATATATTACACTTGAAGTGGAATCCTTAAGTAGATTCCCCAGTTTAGAGTATGTACTTGGCTAAACGCCTATTACTTGAGAATATAGGAAAATGTGGTTTCTTTCATCTCTATTTTCCCATGAGGAACAAAAAACTTTTTAAGAGCTAACAAATCACATTTACCTTTATGTTTGAGATCAAGCAGTTAACATTTTGCTTCACTGAACTTTTTGGGAATTATCCTAGTGGGTAGGAGAATGAGCAGCTTGATTGAGGGTGAGAACTGTTTCCACAGTAGGGAGGGCTTGGGGCTGCCTAGAGCTCTAATCCCCAGAGTGAGCTGACCCTCTGCTCAATTCCCCATGTTAGGCAAGAGCGTGGTGCTGTCTAAGTGCTCCTTTCACAGAAACGACCCTCCTTTGTCTTTCCTTAGGTCTAGAATTTGCGTACTCAGCTGCTCCCAAGTCCATGCAGAGTGCCATCATGGGCTTGTTCTTTTTCTTCTCTGGCGTTGGGTCATTTGTGGGCTCAGGACTGTTGGCACTAGTGTCTATCAAAGCCATTGGATGGATGAGCAACCACACAGACTTGGGTAAGAGCCAGCACCCTATCTTGTTTGTGAATGTAACCAGTGATGGAGAGGTGCGGTGCTCACAGTGGCCGTGGGATGTTTGTGAACCTAGGTGGGCCTGTCCCCGGAGGTACGTGTCCCCTTCCTTGCTCCACATGGACCACTCACGTCACTTTATTTACTTAACATCATTCACAGTTTCTCTTCATATCCACTGCTGTCATCCTTGTTCTCATTTGAAAGGTCCTTGTGGGTAGACTGCCTTCTCCACCTCAGGGCTAGCACTGTTTTTATGAGGTAAATGAAATCTGTATCACAATATTTAACTCAGTTTTGTATTTTCTTTTCCTTTTGATTTTTTGATATTAAAAAGACAGGAATAGTTAATAAGTCACTTTTTAAAATAAACATACTACTCATACTCAGTCATGATGGGACTTTACAATTGATGCCAGTAGGTGGCATCTTAGATATTAAACTACAAAAGATCCGCAGTTTCCTTTCTCCAAATTGATAGTAGCTTTAAATGGACCCAGGAGGTGAAGATTTCTTTTTTCTTTCCTGTCTCTCCCTCTCTTTTTTTATGTTTTATCTACAAAAGCAATCTTAGTGCTTTTCCTTGTATAGTCCTGTAGCATTTGCTCTGGTCAGTAGTACTTAGCCACTCTAGGTTATAAATCTCCTTGAAAATCTGATAAAGTTCAGGCACTTTCCTCCAGAAATTGCAGAATTCTCAAGGCCCTTCCATGATTGAGTTAAAATTCCTGTCCTAGCAGATGAGTTTAGGCCTATATATAGTCCTAGTGTGAGGTCCAGGAAAACCCCCATTATCTCCCCGTGCTCTCTGGCTGTTGAGAACCTGCTCTGTGGCAGGCAGCTCTCGGACTTCCCTGCATCTCGGCTCCTTTCTGAGGATGGATAGCTTGTGAGGTTGGGTCCAGTGATGCGGTGTGTTCTGAGAGGTCTCCTAAGTCCCAGGTGCCACAGAACCTGGCTTAGCACATGGAACAGACCCCCTCCAAAGACACACTTGTCTTTTAAATACCAGAGTCTGCAGTTGTTAAGATAGAGATTGTGTTTCCTTGTTTTTATTTTATCTTTAGATCTATCACAAGGATTGACTGGTTCTTGTCATTCTTACTGTTCTCCAGTCATTTAATCTCCTCCTTACTAATTTAACATCTGAAAATTTGCCTACATCTCTCACTCCTCTCTGTCAAGAACTCCATTTGTGATATGTCAGCACACCTGGGGAGCTCGGGTCTGTGGGCTGCTATCCTCATGACAGGGAGACCTGTCTCTGACTGCCGTGCCCACAGCAGCCTGTGTCCACACCACTGGGGAGAGTTGTAGGCTGTTCTGTCCGGTAGCCCCCAACGTCCTGATTGGAGAAACAAAGGCTGTGGTGTGGGAGGTGGACAGACAAATACCCACTCCTTGTCTCACTTGGGGGATTCAGGGAGAGAATTCCCTAAATTCTCCAGAGTTTGCCTGCTGTGAAAGGAGCAGAGCAGCAACTCTAAAACCAGATTCCTGGCTGCCTGGCTGCCCTTTGTTCTGGGCTCTGCTGGAGACACCTGCCTTTCTGCCTCAGCATCTTGTCATTGACACTGGAGGTAACCTCCTGTGAAGTCCCAGGGCTGTGGTTTGAAGGACATGCCCCAGATTGTTACATTGTTTCCTTCTTTACCCGTCCTCCTAGCAGGCTGTTTCCTTTAATAGTAGTAGTATTTACATTGGGAATAAGATCCTCACTGTAGTACCGTGCTTGGATTTTTTTTATTCTGGGGGGCAGGCTCTCTGTTGCCCAAGCTAAAGTGCCGTGGCCTCAGCCTAACAGCAACCTCATACTCTTGGGTTTTAGAGATCCTCCTGCCCTAGCCTCCCAAGTAGAAGGGACTACAGGTGCCTGCTATAACTCCTGCCTAGTTTTTTTATTTTTAGCAGAGATAAGGCCTCCTCCTTGCTCAGGCTGATCTTGAACGCCTGAGCTCAAGTGATCCTCCTGCCCTGGCCTCCCAGAACCCTGAAATTACAGGCTGAGCCACTGTGCCCGGCCTTGGACCCTGATCTGGAGGGCACAGCTGGGTGTGTCTGGGTCCAGGTCAAAGTGGAGAGTGGTTTAAAGCCCTCTTTGCATCTTTCCTTAATTATTCCTCCACCCCCAGGCAAACGCTGTTCTACTTTTCCTATCCTGCGCTCTCTTCTGTGCCAGAGAGCCCTTTGCAGCCATTTGCTGTCTGTTACTTATGAGTACTGTTCCCCTGTACAAGCTTGTCACCAGTGACTGGTCCATGCCGCTGTCCCGGCCTGGAGCAGTTTGCATAGTGCTGCCTTGGACATTCCACACATGCAGCCAGTGGACAGGCGCTCTAGTCCTGCCTCACCGTCTTCCTGTGTAATTATCCTCCTATCTGTAGTGTGGCCAAGAAAGCATGGGGTGGCGGCTTCCTAGGTGATGGTACACTGAATACCCTGTGTAATCCCACACTGAGCCAGACCCTGGGAGCAGAGTGTGCACTTGGTCACTGGCTGGCAGTGTCACCTCTCCTCCACAGGGCAGCACAGTATATAGTCCACATGGCCTGCCAGCTTTGAGTTTTAGAAGTTTACATGACTCATTAGCTGGGGGAGAGTCCTGTTTCAAAATCGACACCTAAAGTTATATCATTAATATTTTGATGCCACCTTTGTCATGGCAACATTATATGATAATTTGGAATAGTAGTGACAGCAAACATCAGACTCCAGGCAGGGTGAGGTTTCTGTCTCCACCAAGTGCCCAGATAGAGTCTGGCATTAGTAAGGGCTGAATCAGTATTTTAAAATAAATGCTGAAAAACAGCTGCTAGATATTAAAGGCGTTAACAAATAGCTTCCCAAATCAATAGACAAAAGAAATTATTATCTTCTATAACCTATGTGAATGAGAATTCTTTAAAAATATGTGAGAACTTAATTATACAGTCATGTTTGTCTATTTATGATGTTTGATAAATGCATTGTTAAACATTTGATATTAATTATATGTTCAGCTAGAAAAAGGAAGGAAGTTTCAGAATAACCTAACTTTAAAAAGATCTGTAGGGGAAAGGAAGTCTCACTTTTTTAAAATTAGCAAATTAGCAAGTGCTTTTGAAGCATATCAGAAAGCACAGCAACTTTGATTCCTAAGTACTGATTTCCTCTAGTGATATTGCCAACTAGATGTGTCTGTTGACCTCATCTGTGTGTGAGCAGGCCAGATGCTTTCCAGCTGGTGGCAGGTGGTATAAATGATGTGATGTTGGCGGGCTTGCAGGGGGACAGAGGCAGCATGGCCACGGTGCGGTCGGCCTTGGTGGGGACACTGGGCTGACTCTGGGTGTGTCCTAGGAAGGCGGTCGTGACAAGTAGGTATGCTACCATGTCCACACACCCTTCTTGGGTCTCCACACTGAGTAATAAAGGTGTCCGGTGCTTTTGGAACTGGAGTTCACAGACCTGTAGTTCTGGACTCTGAAATGGGGATCGTAACCATGGACGTGAGGACAGCCCTGGCTGTGTTTTGGGCACTGCCTTCATTACTCACCTATACCTTTACCCTGTAGTAATACCATCTGGTAGGTTAGTGCTTTCCCATTTTATAGAGGAGGACACTGAGCTCCGAGATGTCAGACACTTGGATTTGAACCTAGTCTGTTGGCCCCAAGTTCATGGTTCTAACCTTGCATTGTTCAGCCTCCTTATGATTTATTAGGAATTAAAACATTGTATGTAAAATCCCAAGCAGTATTAAGCTTGGGACATAGTTGAATATTCATTGTGTTGAACTGTTTGTATTAAGCTATCCAGATACACCCAGTATGTATCAATTTGAGGATGCGAGAACCTGGAAAAGTTTAGGAAAAGTGGCAAAAAAACAGACTTCTATTTCCCTACTGTGCTCTGGTACCTTGGAACATGTGGTTCCATGTCAGTGGTGTCCATAGTGAATCAGAGTGCAGCGAGTATTCTAGTGTTCTTTGCATCTTGAAAGTGTACAAAGTGTACAGATTCTGGACCCAGTTACAGAGAACGTCGACTTTAGGTTAGACAAGGAGAAATTAGCAGGTGCTGTCTTCTTCGGACACGTAAGTTCTGTGCCAGGCACAGCTGTAAGGGCAGGGGATTCCCTTCAAGTTGCCCAGGGGGACATGCATGACAAAGGACAGGAAGGAGATGGAGAGAGACTGAGTAGGTTAAGCACTGTCCCGTGTTGCTTAATGGGGTGTTTACTTTCCCCCATTTTCTTTTGGGAGGCTAATAAATCTGAGAAGTGGTACTTGGCATTTCCTCTGCTCCAGCTTCTCTAGGGTGGAGTGTGACCTTCGGGCTCTCTGCACCCACCTGTCTCGTTCACCCCTCACTTTCTGGGCTGCATGTGGACTTTGCTGAGTCCCAGGGCCTGTAACCACAGCTGTTCACCTCACTGCATTTACTGCTCTGGCCAGGCGCCTACCCTGGGGGCTCCGCAGCCCCTTACAGAGGACAGTGGGTGTGAGGAGTCCACAGCCAGGCCCCACAGGAGCCTCAGCTGCCCTCAGATGGCTTCTGCAGTGGACCGAAACACAGTGCTCTTGTATATTGAATTACAGAGATGCGATTATTTTTTTTCATGACCACAGTTAAAAGTCACCCTGACCTTGGTAGGACTCAAATTAAACAGATCTTTTAAGCTACCTCTGGACATGCAGCTCATCCACCTCTGTTCTGCTTTTCTTTTCTCTAGGCAATATTAACGGCTGCCATTTGAACTATTACTTTTTTCTTCTGGCTGCTATTCAAGGAGCAACGCTCCTGCTCTTCCTGATTGTTTCTGTAAAATACGACCATGACCGGCAGCGAGCAAGAGCAGGCGGGGCGCCCAGCAGCGGGAGGACCTGAGCCTGCAGCGGCTCCTTGCCCTGATGTGTTAGGACCGCCTGGTGCCTGGAGAGTGTCAGCCGTGGTAAAAGGTCTGACTTGCCGAGACTCGCATGTTGCCTAGATTGGTATCTTCCTTCCTCCTGCCCAGATGAGCGAGGTCAGTGCCTCACTGCGTTGTCTCCCGCACGCCCAGCCTTCCTGGAGGGAAATGCAGGTTTTCAGCGTGTTGCTTCTCATCATCGGATGTCCCTCTGTGAATCCTGTAGCTGTTTCTCTTTTGCAGAGACCCTCAAATGGGGTGATGGAGTCTTGGGGGACTACGTGTGTGTTAGTTGGCATCCCAGTTTCTTAAATACCTCTTCCTTCCCACAGCCATGGGTCTCAATTCTTTTAAAAACAATTAATAACATCTACTTATATTGAAGAAGGTGAGGATCTTCTTTTTAAGAGATAAAAGTGTGGTCAGATGCTATAGGGATTTTTATCTAAAGGTCATATTTCCTTCGTAAGCCACACATCTTGCCATTGCCAGGGTTTTTGGTATAGGCTGGTACTGAATATATTTCATCTGCTGCTTCAGAAAATACTCAACTTTTAAAACCATTGACATGACTTTTTTCTTTTTTTTTTCTTGAAAAAGAATAGAATAAGATTTATTTAAGACATGTGTCTTGTCTCAGCCTACAGAGAATGACTTAGAGGATGTTTTAAACCTTAGCTAGTCAGTCCTTACATGTAACTTTGTTTTGGGTACTGTTAAGACTAAAGACCAATCATGGTTGAATGTAAGGAAAACATTCTCTTGAGCAAAACTGGTATAATTAAAAATAATCAATTAAATGTGAACTTGAGCGGTTTGATACCCATCAATTTTTGTATTGTTATTTGACATGTATCTGGGGGTTCTGAGTTTGTTAAATAAAGTATTCAGTATTTGGCGCTGTAATCTTGGCATAACTTTATTATAAAAACCATCTCAGATTTGAGGCCCGTGAACCAGGGCTTTGCACAGTCCAGGTTCAGTTGTGGTTTATTCTGCGTCTTCGTGTTGACATCAGGGGATTTGGAGGGTCACGGAGAGCACCACTCCACACATAGGCATTTGCTAACCCCTGAGCCTACTGGACTTTAAAATAAGGTCTCGTCATTTGGAGAAAGCAAAACAAGCCAAAACCTCTCAGGTCGTTAGTGTTGTAATACAAAATTCAGGGACACTGCAGAGAATCACAAGGAAATGTGGACAGTGGAGTCAGGAGAGGGTGCAGACAGGTGACTCCAGTCATCACTGGTCTTAGCAGGGCCAGGGATGTGAGTTTGTGTTAAAAAGAAAGAGGGTTGAAAAGAGCTGCTCCAGGAAGGATTTCATTCTCCAGAGATGGAACTCACATCTTCAGGGCATGCTACGTGTTAAAAATTACTAACCCGTGGGGTCTGAAGTTAGATTTTCTTTATGAGGAATTTGCATTGAAGGTAGAAAGAGAAGGCCATGTTGCGAGAATCCCAGACCTGTCCCTGTGTGTCCTGCTGTTGACAGCCTGGTGGTGCAGAGGGCAAGTGAATAGCAGGTCCCTCATGGCCTCCCTCTGCAGGGCCCTGTCTTCACCAGCCCAGTGAGGTGTACCCTCAGTGGGAATAAGGGGCTCCAGAAAGTCCATGAAGGATTGACAAAGTTACCAGGGTGACAGCCCGTGATTTTGTAGAGTAGCAAGAATTCTCCTAGCATAGAGCTTGTAGGTGGGGGTGCTGGACAGTCTTGTCTTAATATTTGCTCCTTGGCCCCTTCATCCCAGTTGCTGACACAGAGCTCTTAAGACCTTTGTAATGTCCTGGGTGACGGGAGCATCTTTTGTTTTATGGGGCCACTCTTGGGCTCCTGGACAGCCTCGGAACGGGGCTGGCTGCCAGGGGAACCACCCACATGATGAGGTGGAACTTGCAGCCCCTCCCCTTCCCACCTTGGGAGCCAGTGGCTGCTGGAGCTGGCTGCCTAACAGCTCTCCACAAAAACTCACAGACCAGGTCAGGAGAGCTCCATGCCCCTGCCACATGCCTGGCTGGCACTGTGAACTCCTACACCTTTTATAATAAATGGACAAATAGAAGTAACATTTCCCTGAGTTCTGTGAGCTATTCTAGCAAATTAACTGAACTCAAGGAGGGGCACAGGAACTTCGACTTAACAGTCTTGCTGGCCGCCTATTGTGACTGACATCTGCAGCGGGTGGTCAGCAGGACTGAGTCCCCAGCCTGTGGGGTCTGACGCTCTCCAGGTGGGTGAAGGCAGATCTGTGTTATAAGATGGCCATTGGTATCTATTGGAAGGTTGCCTGGAGTGTGGGGAAATGGCCTTCACATCTGCTGTCAGAAGTGCTGCATGACAGTCAAGAGAACTTTTTTCTCCAGATGACTTAAAATTTCCAACTGAATCTCGGTAGTGGATGGTTCTGTTCGCCCTATGGCACTAAACAGTAATTGAATAAATAGTATGTGTGCCCCGAAGGCTTCAGTGAGTGTCAGTTTTATCAGCCTCAGAGCAAGTGTCGGCACACTCCAGGTGGAGACACTTTCTATTCTCGGGGCGGGTAGGACAGAGCGTTCTACTTCTCTACTGTATCATGGGCGGATGTGAAGAGGAAGTTCTTACTCTCAGTTTTACCAGGGCCTGTCAAGCTCATGCTCAGTGATCACCCTGAGGCCACAGTCTGTGTGTCTTGCTTTGAACTTGCTGAAAGGCTCTTATTCCGAGAGTCCTCTGGAGCCACATCCAGAGGCTGAGGTGGCCTCTTCTGGGCTGGGGAGGGCGTGGTACCTTATCATCTCAGTTTCAAAACAGCCAGTCATTTCAGATTACACTGGGCCCATCCAAAGCCCCAATCACTCCTAAATTCTAGGTAATAAAAAATGGGTGATCTTCAATATTATACCAAATTGTGCCATCACTTCAAAATCAAAGCATATTAAGGAAGAGCCCAGCACTGTCATAACTGGAGATTGCTGTGTACTATAAAGTGATTCGCTATTATTAAAACTGGCCAAATAGTTCATGGGGATTTTCAAGTAGAATGAAGTCATTGGAGTAAATATTGTAAAATGTTCATGTTAACACCTTGTTCTTTTGGAAATAGGACCTTTGAAAGGAAATAATACCTCTTAGTACCTAAATCATGATTTGTTGAATTAGCGCATATTAAATGAAGGGAGAAAGAAGCCAGACAGCTGGAGCCGAATGGGAGTGTGGGACGTCAGCACGTGCTCATTTCCACAGTGCCTGCCCTTGCTCAGGTTCTGATGGGGCTGCTGGAGACGAAGCCAGCCATGGCCAGGGACCTGATTCCTTCTCTGTTTTACCCAATCCCCCCAGGCCAGTGGTTCTCACCCTGTGGGTCACAACTCACAGGAACTGTATTAAAGGGTTGTGGCATTAGGAAGGTTGAGAACCACTGCTCTAGACCAACACCTTGTGAGAATGGGTGTGTGTGCCACAGGCAAGCAGGCAGCTACTCACTGAGCCACACTGTATTTCTAATGGCATCAGGACCAGTTAAACCAGTCAGACATGAAGTCTGGGAAGAGGCTGCACCTATAGTCCCCTGACCTCTAGGATGCTATCGGTGGGACTTGAAGTTGGACAGGTTTATTGCATAATTCTCCATCTGGGTCCCTAACATTTCCCTATGGTTAGTTGAGTTTTGTTTTGTTTTGGTTTATTTTAGAGATAGGGTGTCCTTTGTTGCCCAGGTTGGATGGAGTGCAGTGGTGCGATCCTGGGCTCAAGTGAGCCTCCCACTTAAAACTTCCTTAATAGCTGGGACTACAGGGGCCTAGCTAATAATTTTTAAACTTTTTATAGCGAAGGAGAGAGGGGCCTCACTATGTTGCCCAGGCAGGTTAGGAACTCCTGGCCTAAAGCAGTCCTCCTACCTCGGCCTCGCAAAGTACTGAGATTACAGCCTTGGACCACTGTGCCTGGCCTCGCTTGTGTTTAAAACTATTTCTAACATTCTTTTTCTGGAACTCTCTAGTCATTAAGTATTAATTTCTACGGAGTCCAAGCCAAAAAATGACTTCTCCAAACATTCAGAAAGGTCTGTGCGTGTTACGACTGATGGCAGGGCTGGGCTGGAGGGATGTGTTTGGGAAATCTGTGCAGGCAGGTGATACTTAAAGCCTGTGCTGGGTGAGGCCCAGTATATGACAGAGGTGACAGAGTGGGGCTCTGACCTTCCCAGGCCAAGGGGGTGTCTGAAAGCCAAGGGAAGGAAGCATGGAGGGGAGCGGTGCCTGTGGCTCAAAGGAGTAGGGCACCAGCCCCATATGCCAGAGGTGGTGGGTTCAAACCCAGCCCCGGCCAAAAACTGCCAAAAAAGAAAGCATGGTGGGGGGGGCGTGACCATGCGGTCACAGGCTCCTGCCCTTGCCTAGAGGTGGCAAACAGCTGGAGGTGAGAGGAGAAACTCTGCAGGGAATCACAGAAAGGAGGAACATGTGGGGGTAAGAGAGGTGGTCACGGTTTTGGGGGGGTGTTGTAATGGATGGAAAATGACAAGCTGCCCCCATGCAATTCCAGCGTCTGTGTGCAGTGAGAATACCATCACGGGCCCTCTTGCTGCCGGGGCTGGGGCCTGGGGCATCTGATAAAGAAATCTCAGTGTCGAGATGCATGAGGCCCTGGTGTGTTGTTACAGAAGTTCATCATCAAACACCACACCTTCCACACGGAGCTGGTGGACATGCAGAGACTCCTCCCTCTCAGACCAGCAGTGCTAGAAGTCAACAGAATTAAAGTTTGACAGATCCAGACATGAGCTTTACATTTACTACATAAATTCACTTCGTGAGTACAAATAGGGACATGAATAAAAATACCAGTCTTAGAAAACTGAATTAGGAAGAAGGCAAAGTCCCCCCGAAATGCGTCATCCAAACCGCCCGAGCACAGCACATCAGCCAGGAGACCAGCATGAGCTGCCACTTCATCTCCTTTTCATTTTTGGTCTAGGATTTTAATTTTTCTACATCCCGAACACAAATGTATGTTCCTGAAAATGGAGTAAATTATGTTAGGCTCCTCCCGCCCGTGGGAAGTCAGATGTGTGCTCCACTCACTAAGGGGTATTAAAGGTCACGTCATTGCCCACATCACTCCTGCCTGAGCCCCATCCCGCCAGCCAGAGGCTCATCTGTGATGCTGCTTTCCCCCTCCTAGCTGTGATCTAGCACCCCTCAGGGACATATGAAAGAGGCACTTGGGCTGCTAGGAAGTGATCTCTAATGCTGACACTGATGGCCAGAGGGCATGTGTGACTTTGCCTGATGGAAGGTACCTTTGAGATGTGACTGTTAATCCCTGTGTTGCTCAGGTGGACCCAGTGATCACAGGATCCTTAGGGGTAGAGGAAGAGGTGAGGGTGTAAGAAAGGGCAGGTGATGTGCTTTGCAGGAAGAGGTCACAAGCGGAGGAAACGGACTCTCCCTGGAGCCTCCAGAAGGAGGGCAGCCCTGCTGACACCCTGAGTTCAGCCAAATGTTTGAGTGCATCCAGGCTGCTCTAACAGAAATGTCAAAGGTGGGGCAACTCAGACAACAGAAATTTATTCTCCGCAGTTCTGAAGTCTGGGAAATCCAAGGTCAAGTGCTGGCCCATGTGATTCCTGGCCAGGGCTCACTTCCTGGTTTGCAGACAGCCTGTTTTGGGCTGTATCTTCACCTGGTGGCAGGAGAAATAATTTCCCCTGTCTTTATAAGGGTGCCAATTCCATTCATGAGGGTGCCAGCCTCCTGACCTCACCACCTCCCAACACCATGGCCCTGGGGACCAGGCTACAACCTCTGAATCTTGCTGGGAGGGACAAACACATAGTCCATTGTGTATCCAGGGGGTCCCATTTCAGACTTCTGACTCCCAGACTTGTAACATAACTAATTTGTGCTGGTT